CCCTTGCGCACCAAGGGTGAAGTCCCTGATGTTCTGATCCCTTGGATCAGCAGAGCACGTCTTCAGCTGCGAGAGCGTTTTCGCTCGGAGTTTCCTGTCCTGCGCTTGCACTCTGACAGAGGTGGTGAGTTCTCCTCCGACCTCTTGGCAGCCTACTGTGCCGAGCACGGCATTCGCCAGTCGTTCACGCTTCCGGCCTCTCCACAGCAGAATGGGGTTGCTGAGCGCCGCATTGGCTTGGTCATGGAGGTCGCTCGTACCTCCTTAGTCCACGCGGCTGCCCCCCACTTTCTGTGGTCGTTTGCGGTCCGGTACGCTACGCATCAGCTCAACCTCTGGTCCCGTGTCTCCGCTCCGGAGACCTCGCCCACACTGCTGTGGACGGGGGAGGTTGGCGATGCGTCACGCTTCCGTGTCTGGGGATCCCGAGCTTTTGTTCGCGACACGTCTGCGGACAAGCTCTCCTCCCGCACTGCTCCGTGTGTCTTTCTTGGCTTTGTCACGGATGCGTCTGGCTGGCAGTTTTACCACCCCGCCTCGCACCGCGTCTTCCCCTCTCAGGACGTCACTTTTGACGAGTCCGTGCCCTTCTACCGCCTCTTCCCCTACCGCACTGCCCTGCTCCCTCCCCCGCCTCTCTTCCTCGCGCCAGGTGCTGCAGTGGTAGACCCCCTCCCCCCTCAGGGTGCCGCTCCCTCAGGTGTCTCCCAGGTAGACCCCGTTGAGCCTGCCGAGGTAGCTGTCGACTCGCGTCCTGCTAGGGGTGCTGAGCCTGAGCGTGCGGAGCCTGAGCGTGCGGAGCCTGGGGGTGCTGAGTCTGGGGGTGCTGAGCCTGGAGTTGCTGAGTCTGGGGGTGCTGAGCCTGGAGTTGCTGAGTCTGGGGGTGCTGAGCCTGGAGTTGCTGGGTCTGGGGGTGCTGCAGCTGACAGTGAGGCGCCTGGAGGAGCTCCCTCTTCGCAGCAGCTGCGTGAGTGGTACTCGCGGTACTGCAGCCTCCGGCGGGGTGCTTCTCGGGCTCGCGGTGCAGCTGGAGTTGGTGCTCGTGTTTCCCCGCCGCGGCGGGAGCCAACCTCTTTCCCCCAGCTCCGGGAGTGGTACGCTCGGCACATCAGTCTCCGGAGTGGAGCTGCTGGTGCTGGGGTCCCCGGAGTTGACTCTTCTACTGGTGCTGCGGACCCGGGCGTAGGAGCTGCTCCTGGTGCTGCGGACCCTGACGCTGCTGGTGCTACTGGAGGTACTGCTGGTGCTGTGGACCCGGGTGCTGGAGGTGCTGCTGCTGCTGGCGGTGCTGCTGGTGCTGCTGGAGGTGCTGCTGGTGCTGAGGACCCGGGTGCTGGAGGTGCTTCTACTGCTCGCGGTGCTGCTGGTGCTGCTGGAGGTGCTGCTAGTACTGAGGACCCGGGAGTTGGAGGTGCTGCTGGTGCTGAGGACCCTGCCGCTGGAGTCTCTGCTGGTTCGGGAGTTCCTGCACGCCCACGGCCGTACTTCGTTCCACTCCTTCAGCAGGTTCTTGGTCAGCCTCCTCCACCTTGTCCTCCTCTCGCCTTAGAGTGTCCGCCGTCTGTCCAGTCACAGCCACAGTTACCGCCTGCCTCTCCTCTTCCTGTGCCTACTCCTTACACTGGTACGACTGGAGGTCTTGCTGAGCGACGTGAGCCTGCGTCACGTCCTGTGTCACCTGCGTCTTGTCGAGCGTCGCCTGTTCGTGCTGCTACCACTAGTCGTCGTGTCTAGCGTCAGCGTCCTCCTGCTGTCCCAGGCACTCACCAGATGGCGCTTCGTCAGTCCACTGCTCCACAGCGTGTCTCTCTCCCGTCGCCTCCTGCGTCCTCTCTTCCTGCTCTTGCTGACCCGGAGTCAGACTCTCTACGCGCTGCCAGTCCTACTGTCACACGTCTCCTAGCTACGGTTGTCACTGACCCTTCCTTTGAGTCCTCTACTGCGTCTGCCTTAGTTGCTGAGCTTGTCGACTTTGCAGCTGCGTATCGTCTAGACTACGCTACGAGTCTTGTCGCTGAGTCTGAGTCTGTCTGTCCTCCGTCCATCAGGGGTGAGTGTGCTCTTGGCACGGACGTTCTTGAGCACAGGCAGGAGGAGTTTGGTTGCCTTGCCGCTGCTTTGCCCCATCTCGTGTCCATGCTTGTTGCCCCTGAGGGAGACCCGGATGCACCAGACATCCCGACCCCACGCTCTTACGCAGAGGCGATGGCCGGTCCCTACTCCTCTCAGTGGCAGACAGCCATGGACGCAGAGATGGCTTCCTGGAAGTCCACACGCACCTACGTCGACGAGGTTCCCCCACCTGGGGCGAACATCGTCAGTGGCATGTGGATTTTCAGAGTGAAGCGGCCGCCGGGTTCTCCGCCTGTCTTCAAGGCGCGTTACGTGGCTCGTGGCTTCAGTCAGCGAGAGGGAGTTGACTTCTTCCAGACCTTCTCCCCGACCCCGAAGATGACCACTCTTCGGGTTTTGCTGCACGTCGCCGCTCAGCGTGACTACGAGCTCCACTCTCTTGACTTCAGCACAGCCTTCTTGCAGGGCAGCCTGCACGAGGAGATCCGGCTGCGCCGCCCTCCTGGCTTCACTGGGTCGTTTCCTCCTGGTACCCAGTGGAGCCTCCAGCGCCCAGTCTACAGTCTCCGCCAGGCGCCGCGTGAGTGGCACGACACACTGAGGACTACACTTGCGGCTCTTGGGTTCGCTCCTTCTACTGCTGACCCGTCGCTGTTTCTACGCACCGACACCTCACTGCCGCCGTTCTACATCCTCGTGTACGTCGACGACTTGGTCTTTGCCACTGCTGACACAGCTGGTCTCGCTCACGTGAAGTCCGAGCTGCAGAAGAGACACACGTGCACAGACCTGGGTGAACTGACAAGCTATCTTCGCTTACGGATCACCCGGGACAGAGCACGCCGCACCATCACCTTGACTCAGTCACACATGGTGCAGCAGGTCCTTCAGCGCTTCGGCTTCACGTACTCCTCGCCTCAGTCCACTCCTCTGCCTACAGGACACTCGCTCTCAGCTCTGCCTTCGGATGAGTCCGTAGAGCCGAGTGGTCCGTATCCAGAGCTTGTGGGCTGCCTCATGTACCTGATGACTTGCACTCGACCTGACCTCGCATACCCTCTCAGCATCTTAGCACGCTATGTCGCTCCCGGCCGTCACCGGAAGGAGCACATGGATGCAGCTAAGAGGGTGTTGCGCTACTTGTGCAGTACGTCGGGCATGGGGCTAGTGCTTGGAGGGCGAGACCGGCCTGTTCTCACTGGGCACTCAGACGCTTCTTGGGCAGACAACCAGGCTACTCAGCGGTCGTCTCAGGGTTACACCTTCAGTCTTGGCTCTGGCTCTGTCTCTTGGCGTTCTACTCGTTCTTCTTCTGTTCTCAGCTCCAGCTGTGAGGCTGAGATCTACACCACGGCCATGGCTGCCCAGGAGCTTCGCTGGCTCACCTACCTGCTGACTGACCTTGGAGAGCAGCCTCGTTCTCCTCCAGTGCTGTACGTCGACAACAAGGCAACCATAGCCTTGTGTCAGGAGTACAAACTGGAGCACAGGACGAAGCACATTGCTCTGCGTTACTTTCTAGCTTGAGAGCTACAGCAGCGTGGTCAGCTTCTTCTGTGTTACGTGGCCGTTGAGGCCAACACTGCTGATGTGTTCACCAAGGCACTTCCGCCTGTTGACCATCAGCGGTTTTGCACTCTTCTAGGCCTTGTGCCGACTGTTCCTCACTTGCTTACTTCTTGACTTTGCCTGTACTGTGATCATTATATATATATACCTGTATGTTTGCCCTTGCTAGGTTGTGATCTTTGTACCTCTTGCTCTATTATAAAACTGCATGTGAACAGGTCTTGTGACCGCTTGCTTGTGCTCGGAATTTGTGTGGAATCCTCGAGATCCACCCTGAGCTTGTTTGCCTTGCTTTGCCTTGACTGGTCTTGTGACCCCTAGGTCTCCCCCACTTTGCCTATGGGTGTGTGTCAAACATCATATGTTTGTGTAGTTCTAGGCTGTAGTGGGTCACACCACAGGGGGTACACCAGATTAGGGTTTCATACTTGTACTCTTGTTCCTGCTAGTCACATCATTCCAGTTTCTTATCTTGACAACACTGGCCTCCATGAAGGAGGAACTTCAGAGGAGAGACACTTGCACGCGGGGCAGCAGGGCGCGGGGCAGCGACGCACGGAGCAGCAGCACGTGGGGCAGCGGCGCACGGGGCAGCGGGGCGCGGTGCAGCAGCGCGCAGGGCAGTGGGGCGCGGGGCAGCAGCTCGCAGGGCAGCGGGGCGCGGGGCAGCAGCTCGCAGGGCAGCGGTGCGCAGGGTAGCGGGGCGCGCAGGGCAGCGGCGCGCGGGGCAGCAGTGCGCGGGGCAGCGACGCACGGAGCAGCAGCACGCGGGGCAGCGGCGCACGGGGCAGCGGGGCGCGGGGCAGCAGCGCGCAGGGCAGCGGGGCGCGGGGCAGCAGCTCGCGGGGCAGCGGGGCGCGCGGGGCAGCAGTGCACGGGGCAGCGGGGCAGCAGCGCGAGGAGCAACAGCGCGCGGGGCAGTGGGGCGCGCGGGGCAGCAGCTCGCGGGGTAGCGGCGAGCGGGGCAGCAGCGCGCAGTGCAGCAAGTGCGGGGCAGCGAAGCTCACGCGGGGCAGGGCAGAGCCCGCAGGGCAGGGCAGCGTGGTGGCGAGGGGCAGTACAGCGACAGTAGCTGTGATGGGCGGTAGACACTGACCTAACCTACTCGATACCATTTTTAAGTGTGAAGCAGCGGAATGAATTGACTAGGATGAGTTCGGACACAAATATGCAACCATAACAGGGTTGCTCTCTCTAGTGAGTACCCCACTATAGCCTAGACCATAGTCATAACATTTGACAACAACCGCCAGGGAGTTCCTCATGGATCCCATCCAAACTTCAACTATACTGTACATGGAATTTCTTAATAGCATAACAACAGCCGAGTCAGCTGCGGTGCTCGCTTCCAGTGAGCATCACATGAGGCGGCCCACATAGTGGGTGCCCTTGCATGAGGTGGTGAGGTGCGGCCACTGCACGAAGAACCGGTCCACGATGCCCAGGCGGTGCAGCAGGCGGCCTGTGAGCGACAGGTGGTCCACTCGTGCTACACTCTCCACAAACACGATGCTGCTGCTCTGCACTCCCAGCACCTGCATGAACACGATGGTGAAGGGTTGTCGGATCAGGTAATGATGAGTCACACAAACCACATGTGAGTGCCTACAGGTGCTGCACTGCAACGCGCGCCACACTCTCCACGAACACGATGCTGCTGCTCTGCACTCCCAGCACCTGCCACCACGATGGTAAGGGGTTGCGGAATTGGGTTCTGATGAGTCGCATGAACCGCACCCCCTTGCTCTGTTTTCCTGTGTTCTGGGACTGGCTGTGCAGGGAACGCAAAGGGAAGGAGACAGGTGTCAGATTGGAGTCAGGGAAGGTGTGAGAAGTGGGGAAGAGCAGGGGACATCCGATGTATGGTGATGAAGCTGGTGGCTGTGGGTGCAGAAAGGGAGGAGGCACCAAAGTCGATGTAGTCCCATGCACCTCCCATGCACCTCCCATGCACCTCCCATGCACCTCCCATGCACCTCCCATGCACCTCCCATGCACCTCCCATGCACCTCCCATGCACCTCCCATGCACCTCCCATGCACCTCCCATGCACCTCCCATGCACCTCCCATGCACCTCCCATGCACCTCCCATGCACCTCCCATGCACCTCCCATGCACCTCCCATGCACCTCACATGCACCTCACATGCACCTCACATGCCCCTCACATGCCCCTCACATGCCCCTCACATGCCCCTCACATGCACCTCACATGCAGTGTGAAAACGGCGATGCAGATTGGCAGGCAGGTGCCCGGCCCGTTGCAGAGCAGCTGCATATGCATGGAGCGAGACGGATGGACAAGGACGGGCACAGATGGGCAAGAATGATGAGCTGTGATGAGAGAAGAGCGCAGGAATGCTATGATGAATGCTATGCCATGGAATGGCATGCCACTGAGTGGCAGGTCCACGAGAAATCAGACTGTAACAGAAACGAAGCCACAGCAGCACAAGAGACAAGAGGAAAGCGGCATGGATGGACGCACCAGTTGGGGTCTGACACGCGCCACAAGCAGCATGGCGTGCAGCGTGGCGGCGATGGTGGTGAGCACTGAGGTGAGGTATGACTGCCCCACCTCTCGACTCCGATACACCGATAGGTACGAGGGGGGCGGGACAGGCAAGGCGGGAGCAGGCGCTTCCTGCTATGCATGGGATGTGCGAGCAGGAGTGGGGAAAACGCAGGATGAGCATGGAGGTGACGTATAAGTGCTCCACCTCTCGACTGCAATACCCCGATAGGTACGAAGGGGGGGGGCGGCCGAGGCAGGGGCGAGGGGGGAAGTGGTTGCTTTCTGGAATGGGGGGGGATGGGAGTGGGGACGGTGTAAGCGCAGAATGAGGATAAGCGCAGGATGAGGATAAGCGCAGAATGAGGATAAGCGCAAAAAGAGGATAAGCGCAAGATGAGTGGTGGGTCTCACCTGTGCGAGGGCTTGCTCTAGCTGGCGTGCCTTGGGCAGGCTGATGGCGTCGGTGGCAGCAGCGATGTAGCAGCGCGGGCTGTAGCGCCCGTGGTCCAGCGCACCCACCAGACACAGCATCTCCGCCGTGTGGCCCCCTGGGAGAGGGGGAGACAAGGAGGGGGCATGGGGGGGGAGGGAATGAGTGTGGAAGGAGCAGGGAGGGTGAACACGTATGTGTGTGGTCCAGGGCGCTCACAAGACACAGCATCTCCGCTGTGTGGGCCGCTGGGGGAGGGGGGGGAGGGGAGGGAAGAGAGGCGCGAATTGGCAGGCTGATGGGAACAGATGTAGCAGCGCGGGCTGTAGCGCCCACTGTCCAGGGCGCTCACCAGACACATCATCTCCGCCGTGTGGCCGCCTGAGGGGGCGGAGGAAAGGCAGGGGCGCGGGGCGGAAGGGAGTAATTGTGGAAGGAGCAGGGAGGGTGAACACGTATGTGTGTGGTCCAGGGCGCCCACCACACACAGCATCTCCGCCGTGTGGCCCCCTGGGAGGACGGGGAAAGGGAGAGGCGTATGTGGAGGGTAGCGGCGCAGGCGGAGGAAGCATGCAGGGGGGAGGAAGGTGCAGGAGGTAGGGGGTGCGCAGCAGCAAGGCGAGCATGAGTGAGTGTGGGGGAAGCAGGGGGGGTGAAACTTGTATGGCGTGCGAAAAGGGGTTGCCTGTGTGTGGGGAGAAAGAAAGGGCACAGGGTGCAGCGCAGCAAGGATTGTGTGGAGCAACGGTGCTGCGCGGCTGCATGAAACACGAGCTGCTGAAGCGGCAGTGAGGTTGGAAAACGAGCGTGAGGGCGGAAGGTGATGTGGGGGGGGAGGAAAAGATGCATGTGTAGTGGAGAACGGGGGAGGGGAGCAAGGGGGAGTGCGAATGTGAGCACCTGAGCCCAGCACGATAAGAACCTGAGCCAAGCACGATAAGCACCTGAGCCCAGCACGATAAGAACCTGAGCCAAGCACGATAAGCACCTGAGCCCAGCACGATAAGAACATGAGCCAAGCACGATAAGCACCTGAGCCCAGCACGATAAGCACCTGAGCCCAGCACGATAAGCACCTGAGCCCAGCACGATAAGCACCTGAGCCCAGCACGATAAGCACCTGAGCCCAGCACGATAAGCCCCTGAGCCCAGCACGATAAGCACCTGAGCGCAGCACGATGAGCACCTGAGCCCAGCACGATGAGCGTGGAAAGGTGGTCGCCAGGAGGCCTCTTGCGGTGCGGCCGCGCCACGGCGTGCAGCACGAGCAGCACGCGCAGCAGCAGCAGAGCCACGACGGCCGTGAGGGCGAGGGAGAGCGGCGAGGCGGGCAAGGGGAGGTGTGAGAGCAGCTCAGCCGCCATGCCTGCTGTTTCCATCGCAAAACAGGGGGGAGGGGATTGTGACATGCGCGAATCTTGTTTGCATCTTCCTCGTCTTTCAGGGGTTGGGAATCACGCGAGAATGTTGCTCGCATGATTCGTGGGAGTGTTGTTAGGGTGTTGCGTGTTTTTCGAAGTGGTGCGCGTGTTTCTGGGCACTTGAAGTCAACTCGGCAGGCCCAGCTGGATGGTTTCGTGGTAGCAAACTGTTCATCGCGCTTTTCTTATTTCATGAAGCTGTAACAGACAGTGCTATTAAACTTAAATTGGTAATGTTACATTTTTTGTCAACCCGCTTGGTATTATAATTCGGTGGATATTGAGATATTCGTGAAACAAATATCTTGCCAATGCTTGTGTGAACATTGCCAATATCTTGCCAATGCTTTTTGTGCAAACTTTTATTAGATTATTAACTATTTGACACGTTTTCTAAAATTATTAAATGCTTGGTCATAGTCGATGTATCATCATTCTTGTATATAATTGTGTTTTTAGCATTTTATAATCACACAATAAATTACTTCAGTCTATTCCCTATCCATAGGAACTGGATTGAGCTCGTTCGCCCAACTACACAGCTCGTGACGCTCGTTTGTGCGTCCGACTGCATGAATCTATGCAATGATAGGCCTATGCGCAACACGTCACCGTTTCAACGTCTGTATGCTTTTGTTAGCCCTATTTCTTCACACAATTCCCTATTTTATCCATTTCCCTAACCATGGGAATTGGTTTGATTCATTCGCACAACTATGCAGCACATGACGCTTGTTTGCGTGTTTGGTGGCATAAATCTGTGCAAGGATAGGCCAGTATGCAACATGTCACCGTTTTGTCGCCTATATGTTTTGTTTAGCCCTATTTATTTGTCAGTATAGCTACACTGTGAGATCCCCGATCGATCCTAGGGGGGGTTACAGGCGCGTTTGCCTTGGGGGTTATGGGCGCACTGACCCGCTACTGAAACAAGCCCTTTTATCCCAATGGTATATTGGTTGGGATTCTGACATGGTATCAAAGCGGTCTCGGGTTCGAATCCCGGTGTATGCACATGTTGGCCGTTGCCACTGTGCTCAGTCCTGGGCCTCCCAGTGTGGGGGCGTGTCAGTAGAGCTACACTGTGAGATCCCCGATCGATCCTAGGGGAGGTTACAGGCGCGTTTGCCTTGGGGGTTATGGGCGCACTGACCCGCTACTGAAACAAGCCCTTTTATCCCAATGGTCTATTGGTTGGGATTCTGACATTATTCACACAGCTCCCTATTTTATCCATTTCCCTAGCCATAGGAACTGGTTTGAGTTCATTCGCACAGCTACGCAGCACGTGACGCTTGTTTGCGCGTTGGATGGCCTAGATCTGTGCAATGATAGGCCAGTACGCAACATGTCACCGTTTAATCGTCTATATGTTATTTTTAGCACTATTTCTTCACACATTTCCTTAGTTTATCCATTTCCCTAGCCATAGGAACTGGTTTGAGTTCATTCGCAGAACTACACAGCACGTGACGCTTGTTTGTGCGTTTGATGGCCGGAAACTGTGCAAGGATAGGCCAGTACGCAACATGTCACCGTTTCGTCGCCTATATGTTTTTTTTAGTATTTTTCTTCACACGCTTCTCTATTTTATCCATTTCCCTAGCCACAGGAACTGTTTTAAGTTCATTCGCACAACTACGCAGCACGTGACGCTTGTTTGTGCGTTTGATGGCCTGAAAGTGTGCAAGGATAGGCCAGTACGCAACATGTCACCGTTTCGTCACCTATATGTTTTTTTTAGCCCTATTTCTTCACACAGTTCCCTAGTTTATCCATTTCCCTAGCCACAAGAACTGGTTTGAGTTCATTCGCACAACTACGCAGCACGTGACGCTTGTTTGTGCGTTTGATGGCCTGAAAGTGTGCAAGGATAGGCCAGTGTCAAAATTTGAAGTAAGAAAGAGGATTGAACTAGCAAGAATGAGGATACAAATAGCAAACCCTAGAAGGGTTGTACTCGCTATAGAGCACCCCACTACAGGCTAGAACAATAAGATAATATTCTGACACACCCCCATAGCCAAAGTGGGGTGTAATCAGCAGAGCAGGCAAAGCAAAACAAGCTCAGGGTGGATCACAATGTCACCACACATTCTGAGCACAAGTTCAAGAAGAAATAGTTTAGAGTTTACAATTATAAGCAAAGCTAGTGGTAGTCACAACGGGCAAGTGAGGAGGAGGAGGGAGAGTGAGGGGAGAGGAGACAGGAGGCGACGGCTGAAGCTGCAGACACACGGGCAACAGGAGGCAGACTGGCACAGCGGCTACCGGACAGCGCCCGGACTACAGGAGTAACAGGCCCCGCGGCTCAAATAGCGGCGGACGGGCAACGGACCCACGGGCGGCTGGCACAGCTGGCTACGACTGGGCTACCGGGACAGCGCCCCGGACTACAGGTGCTGCTGACGACAAACTGGCAACCTCCGCTCATCCTCCCGCACACAGTCCCACTCCCCTGATACACACCCACTGCTACACCACTAGCTCTACTCCCACACACCCCCCTTAAACCCTAAACCCAGTCTCCCACACAACCACCCCCCTCAGCGACAGCTGCAGCAGTGGGAGACGAAGGAGGAGGAGGAGAAAGGGAGGAAGGCACACCGACCACCCCCATACCCGCCACCCCACAGCTCGCCCCTCCCGTCGTCTGTCGTGGCGACCTGAGGGGGCCGCTTGCGGCCCCCGAAGGAGCCGCGACAGGCGACGGGAAATGGGAGGGAGGGGGGGGGGGGGGGGTGTGGAGGAAAGGGCCCACCACGGACCTGATTGGAGGGCGGAGCCGCGACAAGGGGCGGGGCCGCAACGAGTGGCGGGGCCGCGACGGTCAGGGCGGGGCCGCGACAGGTAGGGCGGGGCCGCGAAGGTAGGGCGGGGCCGCAACGGTCGGGGCGGGGCCGCGACGTAGGGCGTGGCCGCGACGAGGGGCGGGGCCGCGACGAGGGGCGGGGCCGCGACGGTCGGGCAGGGCCGCGACGTAGGGCGGGGCCGCGACGGTCGGGCAGGGCCGCTTCGAGGGGCGGGGCCGCGACACAGGGCGGGGCCGCGACGAGGGGCAGGGCCGCGACGTAGGGTGGTGCCGCGACGGTCGGGCAGGGCCGCGACGTAGGGCGGGGCCGCGACGTAGAGCAGACGCCCGCCGCGCGCCCCGGGGCGCACAGCGGGCAAAGAACCGCCGCGCGCCCCGGGGCGCACGGCGGCCAGAAAACCGCCGCGCGCCTCGGGGCGCACGGCGGGAAGGAAAACCGCCGCGCGCCTCGGGGCGCACGGTGGGAAGAAAAGGTAGCAGCGGAAGCGAGGTGGAAACCCACCCATAGGATCGATCCAGGGGGATCGACCTGCTCTGATACCATGTCAAAATTTGAAGTAAGAAAGAGGATTGAACTAGCAAGAATGAGGATACAAATAGCAAACCCTAGAAGGGTTGTACTCGCTATAGAGCACCCCACTACAGGCTAGAACAATAAGATAATATTCTGACAGCCAGTACGCAACATGTCACCGTTTCGTCGCCTATATGTTTTTTTTAGCCCTATTTCTTCACACAGTTCCCTAGTTTATCCATTTTCCTAGCCACAAGAACTGGTTTGAGTTCATTCGCACAACTACGCAGCACGTGACGCTTGTTTGTGTCAGAATGTTATGTTTGTCTAGCCTGAAGTGGGGTACTCAATAGTGAGTACAGCCCAACTTAGGGTTTCCTATATGTACTCAACTGCTTGCTAGTGAACCCCCTCTTTTCTTCATTCTAAACTTTACTACTCCTAATTTTCACATGCTACCAAAGCAGGTCGATCCCCTTGGGTCGATCCTGTGGGTGGGCTCACCACCTCACTGCTTCCGCTGCTACTGCTACTCTCTGTGTTGCACGCCCCGTGGCGTGCAACGGAATTTTCATCCCGCTGCACGCTCCGAGCGTGCGGCGGTTTTCTGCCTGCCGTGCGCCCCGAGGCGCGCGGCGGTTTTCTTCCCGCCATGCGCCCCGAGGCGCGCGGCGGGTTTCTGCCCCGTCACTGCGCGCGTTGCTCCCGGGAGGCGCTGCGACGGGCGACGGGGACCCGCGCGTCGCCCCCCGTCGCCCGTCGTGGCCTGCGCGCGGCCGGTACAGCCTGCGCGCGGCCCGTACGGGTTGCGCCAGGCCCGCGCGCGGCTTGGGCCGCCTCCGCGCGGTTCGGGCGGCTGTGCCAGGCCCGTGGGCGGCCCGTTCTTCGCTGCCCCTGCGCTGCCCACTGTCCCCCGTGCCTCTGATGGCGCCCCACCCCTACTGCTGCCCGTTCTCCTGAATTAGGGTTTGGGGGTGGGGGGTATGGGGGTGCAGCTTCTGTGTGCCGTCCCCTGCTCCTCCTCCTCCTTCGTCTCCCAGTGCTGCAGCTGCCGCTGTGGGGGGTGGACCTGTTGGAGGCGTCGGAGTGGTACTAAGGGGGGTGAAGGGGGAGTGGAGCTAGGGGTGAAGCAGGGGGTGTGTGTCAGGGGGGGTGGGACTTTTTGGGGAGGTTGAACGGAGGTTGCCATCGTGTCGCCAGCACCACCTGTAGTCCGGGGAGTTGCTCCGGTAGCCCAGTTGCAGCCAGCTCTGCCAGTCGCCCGTGGGTCCGTTGCTCGTCTGCCGCTAGTTTTAGCCGCGGAGCCAGTTACTCCAGTAGTACGGAGCGTTGTTCCAGTAGCCGCTGTGACAGTGTGACTCCTGTTGCCCGTGTGTCTACAGCTTCAGCCGTCGCCTCCTATCTCCTCTCCTCTCACAGTCCCTCCTCCTCCTCACTTGCCCGTTGTGACTACCACTAGCTTTGCTCATAATTGTGAACTTTAAAATGTTTCTTCTTGTGCTTGTGCTCAGAATGTGTGGTGACATTGTGATCCACCTTGAGCTTGTTCTGCTTTGCTTGCTGTGCTGATTACCCCCCACTTTGGCTATGGGGGTGTGTTAGAATGTTATGTTTGTGTAGCCTGCAGTGGGGTACTCAATAGTGAGTACAGCCCAACTTAGG